CACTCCTCAGCTGATGGGCACTTGGGTTGTTTCCAAGATTTAGCTATGACAAATTGTGCTGCTGTAAACATGGGTGTGCATGTATCAATGTGGTATGATGTTTTTAATTCTTCTGGGAAAATATTCAGAAGGGGAATAGCTGGGTCAAATGGGGCCTCAAATTGTAATTTTAAAAGGAATTTCCACACTGATTTCCATAGTGGTTGCTCCAGTCTGTACTCTCACCAGCAGTGGAGAAGAGCTTCTTTTTCCCCAGAACCCTCCAGGATTAGTTATTGGTTGACTTTTTCATGATAGCTACATTTATTTATGATAAAATCATTGAATTAGACAACTAAATCCCTGAAGTTAATGTTCCACAAATATAAGGATTTTGTCAGTGTTATCCATTGTTGTAGCTTCAGTATTTCTTATGTGCCTGGCCTATAATTTGCCAATAATTTTTTTTTTTTTTTTTGGTTTTTCTCCGGTACTGGGAACCAAACTCACGACCTTGCACTTGCCAGGCAGGCGCTTTTGCCGCTAAGCTAAATCCCCAGCCCTGCTACCAATAATTTCTGATGAATGAATAAAAGTTGGTCTGTATTTGTTTTTGCTACCAAGTGTTATGGCTTGTGTCTGGGTGTCCCCCCAAAGACACAAGAAGTCACGGGGCGGGCTTTTGGAGTTTATGGATTGATTCATGGATGTGAGTGCTACACCCACCCCGGGGCGGATAGTTTGCATATGTAGGGGAGAGAAAGAGGCTGCGGGCCACTCCTCCTCCCTTTTGCTTTTGCTGTCTTTCGCCATGAACTGTTGCCCTCTGCCATGCGCCACTCTGCCTCGGAGCCAGCTGAGTATGGACTGAAACCTCCACGAACTGTGAGCTAAATAAACCTTTCCTTCCTTAATTTTGGGCGTCGGGAATTTTGTCTCAGCGCGAGAAAAGTAACCAAAACACCACAAGTCGAACTCAGGGCCTTGCTTGCCAGGCAGGTGCGGCACCGCTGAGCTACATCCCGGCCCAAAAGTGGGGCTCAAGGACCACTTGTTTCGGAACCACCTAGAGTCCCTTAAAATGCAGCCTCTGCGACAGCTGGAACTACAAGTGCCAGCCTGCCCAGCATTCTCGGCCGTGCGCACGCCTCACTGTTACCACGCTCAGTCCCTCTTCACAGGCTGTGCAATCAGCCAACCACCGAGATTCAGCCTCTTCGCCAGAGAGAAGGCGCAGGCCACTGGTCAGCATCTGCTCAAATAGCGCCCAGCCAGGCTCTGAAAGTTTACTGGTTTGTTTCCATCTTCTCGCTTTCATTGCATTAAAACAAAACAGGAAAACAGTCCAGCTCCCAGGCTTTGTTTTTTCCTAATAGCTGAAGTCACTGCTTATTTCTGTATCGCCTCTCTTCACATTATTTCACACTGCATTTCCCTGTTTTTCAGAGCAGTCTCCAACTGACTGTATTTCTAATTAAAATTAATTTTTGAAGTCCTCGTCAACGTCTGTGTCTTCCGCTTTTCACCTGAGCAGAGTTGCAAGAAAAAGTTGACTCCACTGAACCAGCACCTTCTTAGCACTTTTCATCTATTTTTGTCTAAAACTCTTCAGTGGTTCCTAGCTGGTAGCCATTCGCCTACGCTCGTGTGTTTGCGTAGGAAATACCAGGATCTTTCGCTTTCTTCTAGCGATCAGAGCAGAACCCTTCCCCTGTTGTAACTTTCTTAGAAGACTTTCGTTCAAAGGCATCATTTGACAGGGCTCCTATAAAGCTTGTTTTGTTTCCCTAATTTCCTGGGTATGTTGAAAACGTAAAACCTAAACTATTTGGACTAGTTGGGACTATTTCTTGGTTTGTGACAGACAAGATTTCTTTGTACAGAAATCTGACACTGAACAATGCCCACTGACCAAAGGGGCCTCGTCTCCATTGGTTATTCCTTCCCTGTTTCTTTCACCTATCTGCCACTTTGGATATGAGAAGGTGATCGGCTGACAGACAGGCACTTTAAACATTTCTCAACACATTTAACATGAAGCAATAAAGGTGACAAAACGGCTAAAATCACAAGAGTTTGACAGATAGCACACATTATTTTAATCAGAACAGTGGACTTAATGTCATCATTCTTATTGGCACCGACAAAACTTTGGGTCAGAATTCCATAACTTACAAATAAAACAAAACCCAGCCCCGCCATCTGTGTTCTTGGGCTTTCTGGTCCACCCGGAGAGCTCGCTCCTAGAAGCGCTCAAACTCCGGGCCAGCGGGGCGGACCGTGGGGGCCCGAGCTCCGAGGCCCCCGGAGCCCCAGGCCCGCAGCCGCGGGTGACCGGGGCCCCCGGGACGGAGCGGGACCCCGCCGCGGAAAGCGACCTGGGCCGCTGCCCGTGGGAGTGGAGATCGGCGCGGC